CACTGACTTCCTTGGTATTAAACCAGATACGAATTTGCTACCCAACACTTATCAAAATGGTGCATTTTAGGCAATGGAGAAAGAAAGGTGAAAAAGTGCAACTGCCCAGAGAAAGAAGGGAAAAAAATAGAAACTTGCAGGCTACTGCCGAAGAATACACAGGAAAAAACATGGCAGAGAAGTTAGAAATTTCAACTCCCATGTTTCTTCCCTATCAAAAATAAGAAAAGAGGAACACTTAAAAAATCTTCTCTGGATTGTTTGAGATTCTCTAGAAAGAGCTTTGTTTTGAACTTTCTCTCCTTTCATCTTTTCCCTACCTGTGTCCATGCAGGGTCAAGAGTTTTACTTTTCCATCACAGCACCAAAAAAAAACCCAACCCTACAGTAATTAACATTTTCTAGACTCTGCCCTGCAGTGTCATAAGATCATTTTAAGGATGCCGCACAATATTAGCACTGTTGGGTATGCAATCACCTACAGACGGTTCACACGAAAAATCCAGATTTTCAAATTGGAATCCATAGTTTCAAAACCATTCTGACCTGTTGTGGCCTGAGTGCTTTGTCACAGAAGAATTGCTATATTATTTTTCCAGAATCAAGAATGGAGTGAGAACTAAAAGTTGGCATCTTCCAAGGGTTGCCTTGAGTCTAATGAGTTTGAAAAACACTGCCTTAATAAATAGGAATGATCTTAATAGTCTAGCATGGCAGTGTACTCCAGAATATTGTTGATGAAACTGACCTACTTCTATTTTTGTACCAATTATAGTAATATCTTCAATAGCTTTTTAAAATGAGGCTTTAAATTTAGCTTGTAATATAAAACATCTGTATTCAGCCATCAAACTGAGAGGCATTTTTTTAACATAATCTCTGCTGGAAAAGATTTGTCTAAGGGTTGAGAAATGAATGATTATATTTTTCCTTCCCTAATAGCGATTATTTTAAATATTGTACATTGAGTGAGGGGCCCTGAGTAAAATACTTGGTTTCAGATTAATGTTTGCTTAAGTATCTATAAATCCTTTTTCAGTAGCTATGACATGTTTTTTTTTTTCATTTTTAAATCAGGGATGTTGGCTTTGATTTTGTATTTTGGGGGCTTTAATCTAAAAGGAGACATATCTTGTGTCCTTTACAAAATCTACTTTTCTCAAGAAGATACCCTTGTAAATTCAATATTTAAACTTAAATTACACCCTCAATGGTGTTCTTTTTTATGCACAACCCTAATTTTTAATCTTTTTCTCTGATTTGTGGTAGCGGTAGTGATACTATTACCACAGAATACTTACAACACCCCCTGCTCCAAGGTTAAAAGAAATATTTGTTACCCTGATCTTAAGTTTCCTATAGTAATAATACCGTCTAATGTTCAATTTTAGAAGTAGGCTTATGAGTGAAAGTAATGTGGCTTTGTTTTGTATGGACTTCATCCAAATTTCTTGTCTTGTTTTGTTTATCATGCTTCCAAGTTCCCAAATCTGCAGTTTTCTTTTTCTGAAGCAGTTAAGCACAATCTGATCCAAAGTAGAATCTGTCTGAAACCACAGACTTTTGGAAGATTTGATACCACTGCTGTCCAAGATTGTGAAATCAAGACTGATTTCAATAGGCTGGTCCAGCTTTAGTTGCAAAGATCTTAATGCCCTTGGTTTTGTCCAGATAAAGTATGCAGTGAAGCTAGTGACTCTCTGATAGCTGCCATTTTTATTATTTGTAATGTGGCAACACCCAGATGCATCTATCAGGGGTAGAAGTCCAAAATGGTAGATGATATACTAATATATACTAATATATATTAAGACACTGTCCTTTCTGCAAACTTACATTTTAAGGGCCCATGTTTTTAAGGGCCCTTTCCTTCAGTGTAGAGCTCTAGCAGGCCTGCACCAGAGTCTCTGAAAAGTAAAAACTGAAGGGTGTGCAAGTGCATGTAGGGGATAGGGAAGTATAAGGAAACATTCAGATGTGCTTGTGTATATGCAAGTTTATCTTGTTACTTTGTAAGAGTTTTTACTTTGGAACAAGGCAGCCCCTGTACTCGGCCTTGGTGAGGCCGCAGCTGGAGTACTGCGTCCAGTTTTGGGCTCCACAATTCAAAAAGGATGTGGAGAAGTTTGAGAGAGTCCAGAGAGAGCCATGCGCATGATCAGAGGTTGGGAAAACAGACCTTACGATGACAGGCTGAGAGCCATGGGGATCTTTAGCCTGGAAAAGCGCAGGTTCAGGGGTGATCTGATGGCTGCCTATAAGTTTATCAGGGGTGACCACCAGGATCTGGGGGAACATTTGTTCACCAGAGCGCCCCAAGGGATGACGAGGTTGAACGGTAATAAACTACTACAAGACCGTTTCAGGCTGGACATAAGGAAGAATTTCTTTACTGTCTGAACCCCCAAGGTCTGGAACAGCCTGCCATTGGAAGTGGTTCATTGAACACCTTCAAGAGCAAATTGGATGCTTATCTTGCTGGGATCCTATGACCCCAGCTGACTTCCTGCCCTTTGGGCGGGGGGCTGGACTCGATGATCTTCCGAGGTCCCTTCCAGCCCTAATGTCTATGAAATCTATGAAATCTATGAAACCACAAAAACAGCTGGGTTACAGTTGGCCCTGCAGGAGGGCGAAGAGATTATTTCCCCAACCTCTTGTGTTGCAAAACAGAGCAAGAGTGGGTGCTTTGTTGTCAGATACCTTCCCACTGGATTCCAAAGGAACGATGTGGTGCAGCTGGACAGGTTTAAAACTATCAGGAGAAAGTACTTTTTATGCAACATGTGGTAAATTTGTGGAATTCATTGGCACAGGAGGTGGTGGAGGCAGATAGTATAGCTAGGTTCAGTAAATCATAGGGCACCAATCATGAATGACTGGTGCCTCCTGAGACTTGGGGCGCACCATGGCAATGAGTGGCAAGCGGGGACCGCCTGCAGACACTGGCTTCAGTGTCGGCGAGCGGTGAGCACCCACAGATGCTGGTGGCAGCAGCGGTAGTTGGGTGGAGGGGTGAGCGGCGAGCAGGGACCACCCACAGATGCCAGCATCAGCGTCAGTGAGTGGAGACTGCTTGCAGATCCCACTGCTGGCAGTGGTGGCAGTGGGGTGGAGGGGTGGTGAGTGGTAAGTGGGGACTGCTCACAGATGCCAGCAGCAGTGTTGGCAGTGAGAGGGGGTGGGGGGGTGAGCAGCGACCACCTGCAGAAGCTGGCGGTGGCTTCAGCAGTGGCCAACCTCCAATAAGGGTCGTGCCCACCCACACGCATCACCTATGGCACCAATACATGAGTGCAGAGGCTGCTACAACACGCACGTATCAGAGCAGACTCGATTAATGGAGTCTGCTGGAGAGTAGCAATTGCTGTGCTCCAGCTGCCTCCTGCATCTCGTGTATCAGTGTCCCCATGCGTAAAACTAGCAGCGACACTTTATCTAAAGCTCATGGAACAAGTTTTAGTTCAAGCCCCTCTGTGGCTATTTTTAAGCATGGGGACACCGGTATATGAGAAGCAGCGTTGTTTTAAAGAGGCTCTTGAAGCTACTCTAATTAAAGTGTTGCCCCCCAACATGTGCAAAAGTGCCCACAGACAGTATATCTGTTAGTGGCTCTTGAACAGAATAGTTCTGGTATCTTTAGACCCATAGTGGTGGGTGCCAGGGAGGGTACTGAATAAGGGATAGAACACTCTAGATTACTAGATGCTCAGGTGTGGCCCATGGCACCTTACCATCTGGCCCAAAGGCTCCCCATGGGCTTGAAAATTTGGTAGTGGGGGAGCAGTGCTGCTACTCCTCTGCTGCCAAATTTCCAGACACACAGAGAGAGTCCTGGGCCCTGCAACCTAGATCAAATGCCTGATCCCAGCATGGAGGATGAAGTGGAGGCCCAATCCTGGCGTGTGGGGGTGGTGCGAGGCCTCTGGAGCTCAATCCTGGTGGGATGAGGCGAGAGGGGGGCATTGCTGCCTTAGGAACTGCTGGAGCTATCCCACAGACTGACTCCGTGCCAGCGATGGGGACTGCTGGCCAAACAGTTGAACAACCCTGCTCTAGGCGCATCCTGTTCAGTTCAAGCACCTCTGTGGCTGTTTTTAAGCATGGGGACACTGATATATTCCTGCTCCCACTCGAGCACCTGCCCATGCTGTGGACTGGCTACTGGGCTCCCTGGCCTCCCACGCTCTTACACCGCGAGGTGCAACGGGGACCAGACAGGGACAAGGAGGAGTGGGCTGCAGGGTTTCTCAGTGGGAACATGGCCAGGCTTCTCAGCCAGGACTGGGCATCTCCAGGGCCAGATCAAAGCATAGTCAAACTAGGCACATGCCTAGGGCCCTAAGTGAGGAGGCCCATTTGTGCTTTCTTTATATATTATCATTTAAAAAAGTAATACAAAATGTCATTGTCAGCTGGGAGCCCACGAGTTCCTTAATCCAGCTCTGGGCCAGCTGGGACTGGAGCCCAGGACACCACCTCCAAGCCGGCCTGGCCTAGGGTGGCAGTGCCCAGCCCGCAGTGGGGGGCACCACCCCAGGAGCCCAGCAGCTCCTCCTCGCCCGAGGCGGGGAAGAAGGGAGGAGTCCCTCCCTAGCTCCGCCCCCAGCTGGCAGCTACTGACCCAACACGCTACTAACCCTACACGCAGCCCCCGCGGACCTCAGTGCGCTTGCGCACATCGCGCCACGTGATTGGTCCATGGAGCCAACGGCGCGCCAAACTGCCTCGCAGGAGCGGGGCGGAGCGAAGTCAGGACCAGGGTGCGCGCAGGCTCGCTGGCCCTGGTGCCCCCTCCCTCCCGGTGCGCAGGCGCACAGCGCTCCCTCGCGTGGCTGCTGCTGGGTGTGTCGCTGCCTCGCCGCGCATGCGCGCAGGAAGCAGAGGGAGGGGGCGGCCCCTCCCTACCCTCCCCCTCACCCACCTCTCGCTCTCCGCCAGCGGAGCCGCTGCGTCGCTCCGTCCCTCCCTCCCCCGCCCCGTCCTGGCCCTCCGCGCTTCCTCCTGTCTGTGCCATGGATGGGTAAGTGCCCGCTTCGCCCGCCGGCCCGGGGCAGTCGCCGCGGGGAGGCGCTGGGGCTCCCCCTTCCCCCCAGGGCCCGGCCGGGGAGGGGGGGGATGTCGGTTGCTGAGGTGCCCCCACCGCGGGGGAGCAGTTGGTGCCGCCCGCCGTGTGCGCGCGAGGGACAGCGGACGGCACCACCCAAGGCGCGGGGGGGGGCGGCG